TCCCAATTCAAATTTAAGGCATTGAAAAATGAAGATGTTTAATAGAAACCTTAAAATGAGAAAAAGCATTAAGTCCCTACAAGGGAAATTTCAAAAAGAATGTGAAAGTTTTCATAATTTGTTGAAATGTATCTCTTTAGAGAAAACCCCAAACTCCTACAATTCCCTGATAAAGGACACCACCTACTGACTAGTTCATATGTCTTTCTGCTTCTCCTAAGGGGAAAAGTACAGAGTATGTCAGATGCCCTGTGGAAGATTTCCCAGAGTCTCCTTAAATGGAAACAAACCCTGAAAAAAAAGAGAAGTAAATTTTAATTGAAAAGTTGTGTATTTATAGAAGTAAAGGATAGCCTCTTTCCCGGCTAGAACCATGGAGGGAGCAGAAGAGAAGAAAAAGAAGGTTCCTGCTGTGCCAAAAACCTTTAAGAAAAAGCGAAAGAATTTCGCAGAGCTTAAGATCAAGCGCCTGAGAAAGAAGTTTGCCCCAAAGATGCTTCCAAAGGCGAGGAGGAAGCTTATCTATGAAAAGGCTAAGCATTACCACAAGGAATACAGGCAGACGTACAGAAATTCGAATGGCTAGGATGGCACGAAAAGCCGGCAACTTATATGTATCCGCAGAACCAAAATTGGCATTTGTCATCAGGATCAGAGGTATCAACGGTGTGAGCCTGAAGGTTCGAAAGGCGCTACATTTCCTTTTCCTCTGGCAGATCTTTAATGGCACCTTTGTGAAGCTCAACAAGGCTTCAATTAACATGCTGAGAATTGTGGAGCCATACATTGCATGTTGGTACCCAAATCTGAAGTCCATAAATGAACTGATCTACAAGCTTGGTTATGGCAAAATCAACAAGAAGCGAATTGCCCTGACAGACAACGCTTTGATTGCTCGATCTCTTGGGAAATACGGAATCATCTGCATGGAGGATCTGATTCATGAGATCTATACCATTGGAAAACGTTTCAAAGAAGCAAACAACGTCCTGTGGCCCTTTAGACTGTCTTCTCCACGAGGTGGAATGAAGAAAAAGACCACCCATTTCGTAGAAGGTGGAGCTGCTGGCAACAGGGAAGACCAGATCAACAGGCTTATTAGAAGGATGAACTAAGGTATCTACCAGGATTATTTTTGTAATCTGGTCAGTTAATAAACAATTGAAACAAAAACAAAAAAAGTAAAGGATATGTCTACATATCCTTTAAAGTACCTTTAAAGATTTTCACTAAAATGTAACAAGTGTTCATTTTTAGGTGTTAAGACATTGACTCTTCACTCTTCTTTTTTATCTTGGGTAGAGAGAGATTTTCAAAAAATTATTAACATTTCGCTGTTATTTTATCACTACTGTGATTGTTGTTACTATTTAATAAGGATAGAGTCCAGGTGGTCCCTGCAGGACCGTGAACCAAGAGCGACCTGGCGCGGCCCCTAGTGTCACGCAGGGGCTTCTGGGGGTTGTAGTCCACAGGCTACCTCGCGCATGCGCCATGGTCCGGGACGGGTGCTGTAAGCAACATTGTGTGGGGCGCTGAGGTGAGTGTGGCTCGGACCGCGCCCCCTTCCGAGGTGTCACTGTGTATGGGGGATGGGGGTTGTGAAACTGTAACCCGACCTTGTGAACTGGAATGGGAGGCGTTGGAAGCGGGGACTAGTGACCGATAAAAGGACTTCCTTGGCGAGGTGGAGTGGTGAGGAGCTTCGGCCCGACCTCCCTGGAATGGGGTCGGGGGTGGGGAGCTTGGGCTGGTTTGCGAGGTGGTGCCTCTGCAGGTTTGTAGGATGTGCAACTCCGGGTCAGGGTTGGTGTCAGTCTTGGCACGTGCATCTCTGAACCCAGGCGGGGACAGGAGGCGTGGGCTCAGGTTTTGGAGATGCTGATTTGGGCCAAGCGCCCCTGATGGGAAGGGTTATTCCCTGGTAGCTGAGTCAGCAAAAAAAATGTGCCCGCAATGAGGGAGACCCGAGTTCGATTCCCGGGTCAGGAAGATCCTCTGGAGACGGGAATGGCAACCCACTCCAGTATTCTTGCCTGGAGAGGACAGAGGAGCCTGGCGGGCTGCAGCCCACGGGGTCGCAAAGAGTCGGACACGGACAGGGCTGAGCGACACACACCCCCACACACCTTCCCTCCCTGATGGGGAGAGGGATTGACCCAAGCAGTTGGGTCCGCTCCGATTGGAAGGACAGCTTGGTCTGTTCATTCCTCCTTTCGGCGGAGGGGCGATTCCGGCTCAGCACCGTGCATCCTTGGAAACTTAGTTTCTAAAGGCTTCTGCGTTTGGGGTGTGGCAGCTCGTCTCCAGCGGGGCATTCTTGACTTTAGGGCGAAAGTTCTGAGGGGGAGCAACTCAAACTGTACATCCCTTCTCTGTATGTTCGGTCCAGGAGTATGTCTCTGAATACAGTATGAAGACAGAGAGTGCTATCTTTGAGGATTATAAGAAAAATTGTTAATTGTTAAACTGCAGTCAACAAATTTGAACACTGACTCTTCATTTGATAAAATTAGAGAATTACTGAGGTGTAATATTAACATTTTAAAGATGATTTCGTACCTTTTAGCACTACTTACTGAAATATGTGTGGATAAAATAATATGTCAGGAAATTGCTTCAAAATAGTATGGGAATGTGTGGGGAATGGGTAGAGGTGTGGTTGAAACAAGAGTGACCACATGTTAATAATGGTTTAAGCCAAGTGGCTGGTACATGGGGGTTCACCGTGCTGTTCTGTCTGCCTCTGTATATGTTAGAAATTTCCATAATACAATATTTTGGAAACAATTTTCCACTTAACTAGCTAGGAAATGCCTGAAGCATAGGAAGGTTGGATTTTCCTCTTAGTTGCACATAGTCTGTGGGGCCAGACCTTGGAAATCCCCCCTCAGACTAGACCCCAATGCCCTGGGAGTCCCTGTGAGCTCCAAGGTGCAGAGTTTCAGATCTTTCAATAAAATTCTGTAGTTTTCTTCCTTTCTTAGTGAAGGTGATGCATTGGTCATTTATATCTTTTGTCCCTTGTAAATGGGACAATTTTTCATTTCTATCTCTGAATATTGAATATTTCTATCTCTGAATAGTGAATATTTCTATCTCTGAATAGTGAATATTGGTGTCTTTTTCAACATCTCAAAACTATTATTGCCAAAACTGAACTTCTGATCCTCCCTACAAAACCTGTCCCTCGTATGGACTTCCCCATCTCTGTCAAGGGAAACTCTGTCTTTGCAGTAACTGAGGCTGAGGATTCTTCTCCTGTCTTCCTTTCTCTGCCCACATGCAAACCATCAACAGATCCTGTTGGCCGGATCATCGGTATAAATCTTAGTCCCTGCCATTTCTCACTACCTCCACCTCCACTTCCCTGATCCAAGGCAACGCCATCTCTGACCAGGATTTCCTGAAAACCACCTAACGAGTCTTCCTGCTCCCCTTCTAGCCATTGGTAGTCCATTCTTTGTATGTCTATTCTGTTTTTGTGGGGGTTTAAAGTTCATTTTTTTGGAGTATAGTTACTTTACAATGTTCTGTTAGCTTCTACTGTACAGCAAAATGAATCAGCTATGTACATGTGTGTGTGTGTGTGTGTGTGTGACTCAGTTGTGTCTGGCTCTTTGTGACTCTATGGACTGTAGCCCACCAGGCTCCTTTGTCCATGGAATTCTCCAGGCAAGAGTACTGGAGTGGGTAGCCATTTCCTCCTCCAGGGGGTCTTCCCAACTGAGGGATCGAACCCAGGTCTCCTGCATAGACAGCAGATTCTTTACTGTCTGAGCCACCAGGGGAGCCCTGAATCAGCTGTACATATGTCCCCTCTTTTTTGGATTTCCTTCCCATTTAGGTCAACACAGCATTGAGTGGAGTTCCCTGTGCTATACAGTAGGTTCTCACTAGTTGTCCATTTCATACATAGCATCAATAGTATATATATATGTCAATCCCAACTGGCAGTCCATTCATCACACCAGCTAGCATGATCCTGCTAATACTTAAGTTAAATCATGTCACTCCTCTGTTCAGAATCCTCCCATTACTTCTAACTAATGAGACTAGCAGCCCAAACCTTCAAGTGTTCTTATAGCATCTACCACTTGGCTCCCTTTACCTGCATTCCATTCCCTCTTGCTCATTCCCACATTCACTCCACTTGAACCATGTGCATGCTGCCACCTCAAGGTCTTTGCACTTGCTATTTACTGTCTAGAATGCTCTGTACACATACTTGCATTGCCCACTCTCTTACTTCATTAAGTATCACCTCAGTGAGACATTTCCTGACCACCCTGTTTCACTCCCAGTCCCCCTTCCCTGCTTTTTTAATCTTTTGCTCCATAGCATTGATCACTATGGTATCTTCAGGGTCCACATCACTGCCTGGCACCCAGTAGGCACTTAATAGATATGTGTTACATGAGGGAATGCAGCCCCTGTCTCTCTCTGAGCTTAGAGACAGAGGCAGAAGGCCATTAAGCCACTGCAGTATAATGCTGTCATAGAAGTGGTACCTGCCGTAGTCTGAATGTTTGTGTCCCCCTCAAATTCATTATGTTGAAAAACTAATGGCAGGATTTCCCTGGTGGTCCAGTAGCTAAGGCTCCAAGCTCCCAGTACAATTCCTGGGGCCCAGGTTCAATTCCTTGTCAGGGAACTAGATTCCCACATGCCACAACTATGCTGCAATCAAGACAGGAGACCCTGTGTGCCACAACTAAGGCCCAGCACAACCAAAAAAATAAATAAATATTTTAAAAAAAATGTGGCAGTTTGACTCAAGAGCTTGAGGAAAGAGATAGGAGTTATACAGGTGTCTGGGATGGGATTGGTGGGCGGGAGGTTTGAGGAGGTAGGAATTTGGTTTGGTGAGAGTGAGACAAGAGGAAAAGACATCTTGGAAAAATAAAAAGAATGTGTGAGAAAACTGTCCAGCCCAGAAGGAACCAATATTTATTCACAACTTCTTAAACCCCCTGTCTCATGGATTCTCTCTTCTTTGCAGTTCTGGTTTCTCTGGCTCCTGCTCTGTCTAAGAGGAAGACAGTATGATCAAGCTCCAGGTAAGCTGAAGTTTCCTTTCTTTCTCTTAAATGCCATGTCCATTCTGAGGAGCTGGATATCTCTATTTTCCAAAAGGAAGTCAGCAGTTTTTGAGAGACTTCTGTGTGGTAGGCACTTTACCTTATTTAAAACAGCTGGGAGAGGTAGTGTTATTATTCCCTTTGGAGAAATTAAGAAACAGGCTCAGAAATGTCATGTTGTCTGGTTCGGGCTGCTCTCAAGTTCAGTTTGCTTACCAGTGCCAGTCAATGAGCTGCTTGTCCCTGGGCCATGAGAGATAAGTACAGAAATCAAGAGTAAGGGACTTCCCTGGTGATCCAGTGATTAAGAATCCACCTTGCAATGCAGGGGATGTGGGTTCAATCCCTGGTCTGGGAACTAAGATCCCACATGCTGTGGTGCAACCAGCATGCTGAAAGGCAGCCAAATACATAAATATTAAAAAAAAAAAAAAAAAAAAAGGAAGGGTTTGGAGAATTCCTTGGTGGGGTTAGAATTCCGTGCTTTCAAACTTGTGGCCCCAGGTTCAATTCCTGGTCAGGGAACTAAGAGGATTTGGAGCAAAAAGGTAAAAAATTAATGACTGGTACAGCAGCTTCCAGTGTAGCTCTTCTTCCAGAAGTCATTGGTGCAGATGATGAACGTGGCATGTGCTTGATGTTTTAGGAAACCTTGACCTTCAAGGACGTGGCCATGGTCTTCTCCAAGGAAGAGCTGGCACTCTTGGACTCTGCCCAGATAAACCTGTACCAAGACATGATGCTGAAGAACTTCAGGAACCTGGTCTCCATGGGTGAGGACAACAAGCCCCTGTAACTAAGCATCAAACCACTGGTCCCATTTTCTCAAGTGATCAGCTTCAAACTGGATAGAATATTCCTGTTGGAGCACAAAGGGAAACCTCCTAAGAGATACACATGCAGATGACAACCTGCAGTTAATGAGTTTTAGCAGATAACTGTGAGCGGGTGGTCCCTTGTGACTTGTGGTTGGGTGAGGGAGCTCTCCCCCGCCCTGTGCCCCCTGCCTGCAGGCATCTGATGCAGTTGGCAAGCCTACGCTGATCTCATCACAAGTTTAGGCTCTCATTCCCTCATATTTTCCAGAACAAGACTGAGGAAGTTCACATTATCAAGGCCTTGGTCCCTTGGTTGCGTCTAGAATAAAACCAATGTGGCTTTTTTTCTTTTTTAAACCAATGTTTTGGACAGACTGGTATTAAAGGAACCAAGTTAGGATCTGGTTGGTAGTCAGTACACTATGAGTGTCCGTTTATTTGCTCTCTTGCTGATCCATATCTATCCTAGCTTCAATTTCTCAGAGCCCTGTATACAGCTATCTATGACCTCAGTTTAGTTTATGAGATAGTTGCTCTTATTGTCCCCTTTCTACAGAGCAAACAACTGAGGCACAGAGTGGACAAGTAACTTGCCCAGGATCACCCAGCTTGTCAGAGGAACTAGGATTTGAACCTCCCAGTCTGACCCTCAGCCCTGTGCTTGTAATAACCAGGTGACGTAAAGTACTGCTGTGTCCATAAATTGTAAACAGGGCTCCTTGGCCTAAATGTGCAGGACTGACCCCCTTGGTGAGTCCTGAAATCAAGTGACCATGTCATCGCTAGCAGTTTTTAAAAAGCAAAACAAATCCATGGACTAGAACACAAAAGGATTTATCAGAGTACATTGCACCTGGTAAGGTAAGTCTCAACTGATCACAGTATTTTAGTTTCTGGTCTGTGTCTCTGTGTAGGTACTGGGTCACAGTGTAAATGCTTTTCTTGCTATGGGTACAGTCCAAACAGTTGGAAAACTACTGCTTTAAGCCTGTTCCTGTTTCCTCAGACACCACTTTATGAACCAAAGTCACTCAATAAAATGAATCAGAAAATTACCTTGAACTAGAAGCAGTGTCCAGGTGAGATTTGTGACATTTTGTGAAGTCTGTTTTTGGGTGCCAAGGTGTTGTGACCATCAACCCTCTATTTCTTATGAACCTTTCATACAGTCTTGCTTCCCTGGGTGCCAGGCTGTGAATAGTTCCACAGGGCATCAGTTACAGCTCCTATGTTCACTTATATCAGAGAGATCACACCGAAGAGAAGCCATATAAATGCGACAAGTGTGGGAAGGGCTTCAGTTGGAACTCAGATCTTCACATTCATCTCTGAGTCCACACAGGAGAGAGGCCCTATTAGTGTAAGGAGTGTGGGGAGGGCATCAGTTGTAACTCATATCTTCTTGCCCATTAGAGAGTTCATAGGGATGAGATGGACTATGCATGTCATGAGCACGATAAGGCTCAGGAAATATATAGCTTGGACTTTCTTACTCAGCTAAGACTGCACAAGAGGACAGAAACATTATAAATGTAGCCGGTCTGGGTTCAGTGAGGAAAACAGAAGCCACTCTAGGTGTTCCAGATGATAGACACTTATTCAGCTATTGGGAGGGTTGGAGGACCAAAGGACAGGAACGCTGCCACCCATGATGTCAGCATGCAGCACTAAAGCACATGTTTCTTAAGGACATTCCAGGAAACTACTGTGGCTGTGAACACCTTCCTTGAAATGCCCATCAGCTGTCATAGGCCAAGAAAGTGATTCTTGACAAATGGGCTGTTTGTGGCAATGACAGTAGTTAGAGGTCAAATTTCCATTAATGGGTGTGCCCAGGAAGGAAATTCTAACTGGGATGGGGCCAGCAAGAACTTCAGTCCAGCCAAAACCGGTAGGTGTTTTTGCTTTTGTTTTTGTTTGTTTTTAGAATCTCCTCTAGAAATGTATTCTCTGCTAAGACCATTCAAAACAGTGCTCAGAAATGAAAGCTGTGTTATTAGTATGGTAAGAATTAGGCCATACTCAGGTGTTCAAATCCATTAGATTCTTCATACAGTCAAGAGTCTCTATGGAAGTGATATTCTAAGGGTGTGGCAGAGACACTGATATGTATTCATATTCCTACTGGTTCTATTTTCTGGCACACAGTAAGGACTCCATTTCCCAGCAGGCCTTGCAGTTAAGGATGGGTCCATGTGACTGCATTTTAACCAGTGGAGTGTGAGCAGAAGTGATTTAGGCTACTTCTTGGACTGGCCTTTGCAAAAGCATCTTGTGATGTCCTCTAGGCTTTTCCTTACTTGTGCTGATCTTGTAGGCTGTTTCTTCCAAACTGGAATAATGGGAAAACTGGGTATCTGTGTTGGAATTTTTTTTTAATGAGAAATAAACATTTATTGTCTTACACTACTGAGATTTTAAGGCAATGCCAAAGAATGCTCAAACTACCACACAATTGCACTCATCTCACACACCAGCAAAGTAATGCTCAAAATTCTCCAAGCCAGGCTTCCAACAGTGCGTGAACTGTGAACTTTCAGATGTTCAAGCTGGATTTAGAAAAGGCAGAGGAAATTGCCAACATCTGTTGGATCATCGAAAAAGCAAGAGAGTTCCAGATAAATATCTAGTGCTTTATTGACTATGCCAAAGCCTTTGACTGTGTGGATCACAACAAACTGGGGAAAATTCTTAAAGAGATAGGGATACCAGACCACCTGACCTGCCTCCTGAGAAATATGTATTCAGGTCAGGAAGCAACAGTTAGAACTGGACATGGAACAACAGACTGGNTTGGCCACCTGATGCAAAGAATTGACTCACTGGAAAAGACCCCGATGCTGGGAAAGATTGAAGGCGGGAGGAGAAGGGATCGACAGAGGATGAGATGGTTGGCATCACCGACTCAATGGACATGAGTTTGAGTAAACTCTGGGAGTTGGTGATGGACAGGGAGGCCTGGTGTGCTGCAGTCCATGGGGTTACAAAGAGTCCCACGCAACTGAGCAACTAAACTGAACTGACTGAGATTTTGGCAGTTTATTTGTTACAACATTTCTTAGGGTGTCCTGACTAGTACAGAGATATTTAATAGCAACAAACTTCACAGTCACTAGCATCCACACAAGAAAGCAACTGTAGAATTCAGAGTTTAAAACTTTTGAATCTTTGCACCAATTTGTGGCAGTGCAGACATTTAAATGGTCTAGGTAGGAATTCTTCAGTGAGAATCGCCATTCATCATAGGAGTGTTCCAAGTGATGTACATGTGGTAAAACATTGACCACAAGTGCAGTCTATACCATAAGAAATCCCATGCAGTAGAGAAACTTGATAATGTGTAGCAAAAAAGTTAGTCAGCTTGCACCTTAAATACAATTTTTTTTAATTAAGTAAAACTAACATTTACAGAAGTGAGTAATAACTTACAGAGGGCCAAGCCAAAGTGTCCATTGTTAGAAGCAGACACCACTCTTTCTCAGCATCTTGTTTAATAATGGGTTTTTAGAAGGTGCTCATTTTGTCAAGTTCCTACCAAAACTGTGATTCAGTTTGGGATTATAGCTGGATTTTGGAGGAGGACATACCTTTACAGTATCTTTATCTTCAATAACGATGTATTTTTGTATCTGTTTGTTTATTTTGATCATATTTTATCTCTAGTTTTCTTTCCTTTTTAAAATAATATTTATTTGTCTGCATCAGGTCTTAGTTGTGGCCCAGGGGATCTTATTCCCTGACCAGGGATTGAAACCCCTGCAATTGCAAAGTGAATTCTTAACCTCTGGACCACCAGGGAAGTCCCTTTAGTTTTTTTTTTTTTTACGTTACATTTTCATACTAGCTATTGTTTGTATATGAAACAGCCATTCAAATGCAAATAAAACCATCCCTGAAGTATTACTTTCTTACCAATTCAGGTGGGCAATAATGAAATATTAGCTAAACTCAGTGTCAGTAAGGGAATAGAAAGAAGTTAGCATCCTTACCATATATTAGTGAAAAAAAAAAAACAGGTGTAACACTTCTGAAGAGGATTTTATATATATGTATCAAAGTGTATAAGGAGCATTATCTTTCAACCACTAATGCAACCGCTCAGAATTTGTCTTTAAGACATGATTGCACGGGTTGGAAAAGATGGTTTTCTAAGAATATTTGCAATAATAAAAACTGCAGACAACCTAAAGTTCCATGAATAAGAGATTGAGCAAATTATGTCATCCTCATATAATAGAATAATGTGTGGGTGTGTCTGACTCTTTGCAACCCCATGGACTATAGCCCACCTGGCTCCTTTGTCCATGGAATCTTCCAGGCAAGAATACTGGAGTGGGTTGCCATTCCTTTCTCTGAGGAGATGTTCCTGACCCAGGGATTGACCCTGCATCTCTTGAGTCTCCTGCACTGGTAGGTGCATTCTTTACCACTGTACCACCTGGGAAGCCCACAGAAAGGAATAATATCAACCATTAACATGATTTAGACCTATAAGTTTTCACATATTGTTTGGGGAAAACATCAACTTATAAAAGATTAAGTATGATCTATAATAGACAAGAGTAGGATGCAGAGCAGCACTGGGACCAATTCTCCACCATTGCTCTACATTTCACTTTTCAGTGTTGCTGCAAGGTTTGTTTGGGGGATTTAACACAGGTGGGGATACGTCTAACATAGGAAATGTTTTCTCCAAATTATTTTCCTCATCTGAAAAAATCTTTGCTTTTATCTTATCCTGTTTAATATATGTGAAACTTCAAAACTGAGATTACCAAATATTCTCTTTCCTTTCACAAAGATAGAATCTGTAATATAGAGGATCATGAGATGTGATTTGTGGTAATGGTTTCCTTGTTTTAAGGTAGGTGTTTTTAACATATTTGCTATTATTTCTTTTGGTTTTTCTCTTCAGAAACTTGCCCAGGCTTTGCATTGGCTTTGTTTGAACAGAATATGCTTCATGTTCAAATATTTCCATTCACTTCTATGACATGTTTTTGCCAAAAGGAAAAAAAAAACACCTGTATCTCAAAAGGAAAAAAAAAAACACCTGTATCTAAGATAGCCTTTAAATAAAAATTCTACTTATAGGACATTTAGAAGTTTTGAGGAGAAAGTACAAGAAGCCAACAGACAAATCCAGAATTCAGACACATAATTTGACATCTTTGTTTCTCCAACAGTTCAAGGACATTAGAGATGGTGGTGGCTGTAAATAGTGTAGGATATAGTTTTAGAATAAATGAGCCTCAGGTGAGATAGCAATCAAATACAATGAATTCATCTATTTGGATACTTACTGGAGTAAACCAGCTGTAAAATATTATTATTTTTAAGCAATATGACATTTGAAAGGAAATGATAGTGTTAAAGACTGCTTTAAAATTCTTTATGAGTGTGCTCAGTCATGTCTGACTCTTCCTAAACCCATGGACTGTAGCCCGCCAGGCTCCTCTGTCCATGGGATTTCCCAGGCAAGAATACTGGAATGGGTTGCCATTTCCTGCTCCAGGGGATATGACTCTTCATAAACCCATGGACTGTAGCCCGCCAGGCTCCTCTGTCCATGGGATTTCCCAGGCAAGAATACTGGAATGGGTTGCCATTTCCTGCTCCAGGGGATCTTCCTGACCCTGGGCTCGAACCGCATATCTTGTGTTTCCTGCATTGG